TTAAAAACCTTGAATTTGGAAACTTCACATATCCTGAATACTTTGAAGTGCTTGAAAGTATCTCAGGATCAGATGATCGTTTCAATTCACCTGTTTATTAAATGTTATTTTTTGCTGAGAGTACACCTACTCTTTATTTATCAGCATGGCTGTGTTCCATATGACAGTCTGTTATGGGAAAACCAACATATGGAAATGGACGATAGCCACACCAGATCACAAAACAGAGGACTATAGCATTACATAGCAGCTAACTACCAACCTGTGAGAATTATGGCACAGCCAAGCTGACATATAACCAAGCCATCACTGTCAGTGTTATTCTCACCCCATACCTCAGCATTTGGTACTACCAGACATATGTAGTTATCATGCAAAATAACCAGATTTTTTCTATTGCTGTCACAGTGAAATGTGGATAACAAGACAGTTGGTAAGGGAGTGATAGATGTAGTTTGTTAGTAGAAGAAAGTATCTCATGTAACTGAAGTTTGTTAAAGACTGACAAGAGATCAACAATTTATTTACCATTTAGGAAAGTGTTTTCACTCCCTTCCTTCTTTCCTTTTTCTTCCAGTTTTTGGCTGTTGTTGTTTGTTGCCTTGGAGTCACTCCCCAACTTATAGTGATTCTAGCACAACAGAAGGAAACACTGCCCTAAAAGTGCTAAGGCCACAGTTCGGTGTGAATTGATCAGTCCATTGTGAGCCACAGGGATTTTACAGGCTGGCTTTTGGAAATAGATTCTCAGGATTTCCTTCCTAGTCTGTCTTAGTCTGGAAACTCTGCTGAAGTCTGTTCAGTATCATGGCAATATGCCAGTCTCCACGGATAGACTTGTGTTTGATAACAGTACTTTGCTCTGTTTTATTTTGTTTGACCTAACATGTTCAACATTAAAGTAAGGATGCTTTTGATAACATGGGAAAGAAGAAGCTTTAGCACTGGTCACTGACTTGAGACATGTGACAATGACGGTCTATGAATCATTGGCAAGGAATTCTTGTTTCCTTTTTAAACCACTAATAAAATTCACCTCAAAGTAAAGTAAAGAAAGACAATTTATGATAAAGTGTGCTATACAATGTTGTTTTTTTTCTTTTTTCCCTTCCCTTTGGGATACTATTTTGAGCATTCAAGCTATCTCAACGTAAGTGTTAGGATTTCTTATTATAATCTGCTTTCCCTTCATCCTTTAATGCAGAAGTATAGACAGTTATAATTCTTGAAACTGTTTTAAAAAGCAGTCCTTTCAAAAAGTTATTTCTTTACCAATCTAAAATTAAAATTTTGATATTTCACACACATACGGAATCGACTTCAAAAAGTTTGTTTAAAAATCATATTATCTTTCAATTCCATTTTTCCATGAACTTGTAAAAGTCCCTTGTACTGGGATGCTAACCTCTAAATCAGCAGTTTCAATCCACCAATCACTGGGGGAGAGAGAGGACGTTTTCAGCCCAGCAAAGATTTACAGCCTTGGTAGCCCTACATAATGTCTCTACGAGTCATAATAAACTCAATGGCAGTGGTTGAATGTATATGTATACATGCTTGAATCTATAATGTACAGTCCTGGTGTGGCAATGTAGGATAATCACTGGACTACTAACCACAAGGTTGCCAGTTCAAACCACCAGTCATTCCTTGGAAACTCTATACAGGGTCACTATGAGTCTGAATTGACTCAATGGCATTTGACAACAACAATCTGTGATGTGGTATTTTCTGGCTCAATTATCCTGATGGGTTTTGTGCTGCTGTCTTTTACAGCATAGGTGGAGACATAGGACGAAGTCACGACGGAAGTTACGTGGGCAAGCATTTCCGCATGGGGTTCATGACAATGCCTGCTCCTCAAGATCGACTCCCCCACCCTTGCTCCAGTGGCTTTTCTGTGAGATCACAGTCCTTGCATTCAGTCGGGGGTACAGATGACGACAGCAGCTGTGGCTCCCGGAGACAGCCACCCCCCAAACCCAAGCGGGACCCTAGCACCAAGCTGAGCACATCTTCTGAGACAGTCCACAGCACTGCTGTCTGTAAGAGCGGGAAGGCCCCTGAGAGGACTGAAGGTAAAACACGCTACCCCACCACAGGTAGAGAGCTGTTTCAGGCAACACATTCAGGTCCACATTGCTAAGAGGCAACTGCTTTCCTTTTTGGGCGGTATAACCGCCATCACATCTAAGTCCCAGAAAGGCAGAGCCTAGGTGAAAGGTTATTTATAGGATGTTATCAGATGATGCTAAGAGGAACGTATTTCATTTGTATCATCAGAAAGCAAAAGCAATATGTGAGTTTTCTTATCCCCTTAAAGTTTCAAATCATTAGAAAATATTGTGTCTAACTTTTATCTTTTTATTGATAATGTTTATATATTTATACTTAGCCCTGGTTACTATAGGGCCTGACTGCTAGTAATAGTTTGACCATTCAAACACACCAACTCTGTGGGAGAAAGACCTGGTGACCTGCTTTAAATAACTGTTGTTGTTAAGTGCTATAGAGTCTGTTTCGAATCATAGCAACCCTGTATAGGGTTTCTAAGGAATGGCTGGTGAATTTGAACCACCGACCTTGCAGTTCAAACCCACCTTGCAGTCCAGTGCATTACCCCATAACGCTATGTTGTTGTTGTTAAGTGCCATCGAGTCGGTTCTGAACCATCGCGACCCTGTATAGGGTTTCCAAGGAGTAGCTGGTGAGCTTGAACCGCCAACCTTGCATTTCAAATGGCACTGCAGTCTGGCGTATTAACCCACAGTGCCACGCCAGGACTCCCCACAATGCTATGTTGTTGTTATTAAGTACTGTGGAGTCGGTTCTGACTCATAGTGACCTTGTACAGGGTTTCCGAGATTGTAATTCTTTACGGGAGCAGAAGGCCTCATCTTTCTCCCGCGGAACTGCTGGTAGTTTCGAACTGCTGACCATGCGGTTTGCAGCCCGATTCGTAACCACTACACTACCAGAGCTCCTTTACCAGTAGTTCAATCTAGAAAATCCTCTGGGTATTCTACTCTTTCACATGGGGGTCACTGTGAATGGAAAAGGAATCCACAGCATATAACAATAACAACATTTGTGTAATAATAGAAGCTTTATGTGGTTAGTAGGGAAACATTCTAATGCCAGGAAATATGAAGAAGGAAAAATGATAATGTCATCTTTTACTAGAGAAAACCATTTCTAATATCTTTTTGGTGAATTTAAATGTATGCGTGTATGTGTGTATGTTTGCAATAAACACATATGCATGCTTGTGTGTGCTCTATATCTTTCAGCCTCCACTTTAATCCCTTTTTCTAGTTTACTTATACCAACCTTTTTGCTGAACTATAAAATATAAAAATCCAATGTATCCAAGCCTTCCATGTATGTAAATAGGTCAGATTGCTCCTGATTTTACCAGCTCTTTCAGCTCAGTAAAGTCTCAGAGTTCTCAAGTTCTTTCTGAGAAGTGTTGGTATGAGAGGCCTCTCAAGTGTACTTTTGATACAAGTCCATTGCATGTTTTGTTTATTTGTTTTGGAAAACAACTCAAGCTGCCCGTGACCTGATCTTTCTCCCATGCTGCCAGTCTCTGAAATTCTCCACAGCCAGTTTCCCTGGGTCTCAAGTTTCACAGTGGTTTTCAGCAGAGAGTAAAAGTTAGATGAGTCTTTCCTCAAGTGGACAGAACTGTTAGTCTCCAGAGCTCCCCAGTCTCTCATCTCTGGACCTGTCTTTTCACAGGGCCTCATATCCTGTCCCTGAGATGAGGTGTCCAGGGGACAGGGACCATCTTTGACATTACCCCTGCCTCTCCTTGCTCCCATATTTGAGCCAAACACCTCAGTGAAGAAACAAAAGCCTCTATGTAAATTGAAAAATGGCAATAAATGCCATCAATTCCATGAAGGAATCGTCCACTGAGGCTCAGTTTAGCATACCACATACACGTATGTGCAAAAATACATCGCACAGAAGTGTAGATGCTTGAGACTAAGTATTTGAATAACATGTAGCAATGCATAGTTACTAAATTGTAAACATAGTGCGTATACATTTGCGTGTTTTGTATTATTACTTATTTTATTGGAATCCTGGTGTGAAACTGTGGGCTAATGGGTCAGACTGCAAAGTTGTTTGAACTGCAGTGTTGGTGGTTCAAGCTCACCAGCTGCTCCTTGGAAACCCTACACAGGATAGCTATGGGTTGGAATTGACTCACTGGCACTTAACAACAATAACAACTTGTTTTATTATGTCTGTTTTTCATGACAATCAACATTTTTTAAAAAGCAACACTTTTAAGATTAGTAGTTGTTGTTAAGTGCTGCCGAGTCGATACCGACCCATAGAGACCCTGTATAGTGTTTCTGAGGAGCAGCTGGTGAACTTGAATCACCAACTTTGCAATTCAAATGGGTTAACTTCTTGATGAATATTTAGATTGGTTCCAATTTGTTTTGCTATAATGAATAGTCCATCAATGAATTTGTATTTGAGTGTGTGTGTGTGTGTGTGTATAGATAGATAGATAGATAGATAGATAGATAGATAGATAGATAGATGATAGATAGATAGATAGACAGATAGACAGATAGATAGACAGACAGACAGACAGATAGATAGATAGACAGACAGACAGATAGACAGATAGATAGATAGATAGACAGATAGACAGACAGATAGATAGGTCACGGAACTGTTGCCAAACCAAAATGAAGCTTGCTGCCCGTTGCTGTTGTCAGTGACAGAGACAGGAAAAAATTCCATTCAAGCTTTATTAACGAAAACCCAGCAGTCTGGAGTACAGAGAGAATAGTTTCTCAAGACCATCCTGTCCATTATGAAGGGCAGACACATTAAAAAGATACACATTATATAGAATAAGATAGGGTACATTTGGATGTACACTTAATCTATCTTAACATCAACATAACATTCTTTGGGAAAAAGAAACAATAAATCAATAAATTTCCTCAAACATTTTACCTTTAAGGTCCCAGCTGCTTAATTTCTAAGATAACTATCTGGGAGGGTTTAAGCAAATCCTGTTCTCCTTGTCTTATTCTCATTCTCTGACCTTAAGGTCATTTTAGCTAATTTATAAACTTTCTCATTTGTCAGGTCCTCATTTGAGTATGACTAAACCAACTCCATTTTGTTTAAGTCAGTAGATCCATGTTATCAGAATCACTATGAACAAAATGGATTTGAAGGCACCTAACAACATCTTTGTGTCTCTTTTTTTATTGTTTCTCTACCTTCCTAGAGTACATTAGAAATTTGATCTTCTGTCTCATAATTCAAGGTCATCAAATGTCCTTCAGTCTGTAACACAATGATGCTAGCAGAAACGATCTAGGTGTTTAGTTTATTAATACACTAAAGGGCCTGAGAGACTTGATTTCAGTGCATTTAAAATCTTGTTCTTAGGTGCCTTCCAAAATGGATATATGTTCGATTTCCCTTCTCTTTATTGTTTCTATCAATCTTCTACTTCTAGTGTGAGCAATGCCACCATCATGTACATTAGACTGTTTGTCAAAGAAGGTTACAGATTGAAAACAGTGGTCTACAAATGAAGACAGAGGTATTGAATATAATCTGGAAAGACTCGAGAATAAAGAATAAAAGAAACCCGGATAGGGGAGAAAAGATACACAACAGAAAAGAAGAAGCATCCAGTAAACAATGGGTTTTCAAGCAATTTGATGCTGTTATAATTTAAAAATAAAATTTTAAAAAAATGTGAATAAGTATAAAATATCCCCCAGAGTCTTCCTTTGACCAGGAATAGCTGGGGTGTTTACAGTGAAACTATGGGGGAAATCATAACTATTGATTCAGAGAAGAAAAGTTTGGATAGAGATTAAAATGTATTTAAAGTAGAAATGATGACCATTCATCTGAAATGCTTTAAGTAACTGAAATAGAGTGGTTCATATTTCTCTATCAGATCCCTTCTTGATCTGAGAATCTAGGATCCAAATGACTAGCTATTAAACAAAAGGCAGCAATTATATCATCAAAAGGAGCTCTGGTAGCATAGTGGTTATGAATCAGGCTGCAAACCTCAGGGTCAGCAGTTTGAAACCACCAGCTGTTCC